ATATATATTTCTTTTATCTTTCATTCCCCTGATAACTCTAAAATCCAAACATAGCGGATCAACTTGTGAACCCAATTGCAGAGCAAAGTTTAAATAAAATATATATTTCTTTTATCTTTCATTCCCTTGATAAATCTAAAATCCAAACATAACGGATCAACCTTGTGAACCCAATTGCAGAGGTGGATGATTGAGCGGTGGCGGTGCCAAAGGACGTATGTGCCTTGGAGAGTAAGGAGGACTAGGAGGCGGGGGAGAGTAGAAGTAAAACCATGCAGGTGGGGGTGGAGGTGGAGACTTGTGTGGCACAAAATGTGGAGGTGGCTGCCTAAACCTTGAATTAAGTGGTGGAGGTGGTGGTAGTTGTTGAGATGGAGGACTAATATGGTGGTGGTGGTGGTGGTGGAGGAGGATTTGTGTAGAAAGAATAGGAGAATTGGAGAGAATTAACAGCAAAAGAAACACACTCCATGTTAGGGATGTTGAGCAAGCCATTAGTATGGATGATGATAGTAGTTGGTTGAAGGAGACAAATATGTATATATATAGAGAGAGAGCAACAGATTGGAGGAGTCTTTTTTTTTTTTTTTTTTTTTTTTTTTTTGGAAATAGTTTAAACAATGGGAATGGGTTGTCTCTCGTCCACTATGGACGGCACTATTTACCATGGGTTATGTTTCGATCATTTGAGATGTTCATCTTTTAATTCACTTTGTGTAGATTATTCACACAAAAAATCAAGTTAATCTAATATACGTAACTAGATAATTTTATTACATTTGTTTCTAAAGAAATGAACAACAATAATGATTTCAAAAATAGACCGTAGATTTTTCAAAAACAAATGATAAAATCATATAGTTTTGGATATCAGATCGACCTAATTTATTTTGTGAATGGTCTACACAAAGTGACCTAAAGCATAAACGACTTGAACGATCTAAATAAGACTCATGATGAAGTACACAAACTCAAACATTATTGTCTAATTAATTGGCGATCGCCCATTCCTTTAAACAATACTCTAATCTAAACAAGTGTACATTAAATAAGTAGTACATTATTGTTATTATCAAAATGTCCAAACAACAACTAAAATTTTTCCATAATTAAATACAAATGTGAGATAAAGAAGTAAGAATATATATGATTTCACATATGTGAGTCACATTTTTATCTCACATCTATAAGTGATTTTGTGAAATTTTTGTGTTGTTGATACCACTGTATTATTATTATCATCATTATTACTATTAAATAACAAATGCACTTACCCCACTAACCAACTTTTCAGGCGTGATTGGATTATTTTTCTATGTTCAGATTTGGCGGGAATTGAAGCACACTTGACTCCACTCCAACACCTTTATCCTAATAATTTGTCACCATCCAAAGTTGAATCCTACTTTAGTTGATTAAGTTTGACTATTTTGTAGTCTGTATTGTATTGTTTAAGAGGCTCAATACAAAGTAGTGGCCATCATATCATTATTATGGCGGGAATTGCACATGTCTTTCTCTCTCTTTCTCTTGTGTTTTTTAGGTTTATCTCCATAGCTGACCATGTGGGTAGTTGTAACGTCCAAAATAGTCACAAATATCAGTTATTATTTCATTTTTTTAGAGTTTTATATGATTTTAAAAATAATGAAATAGTGAACAAATTATAAAAAGTAAATTACACTCATCTGTCATAAAATTTAAAAAAAAAAAATACAATTAGTACTATACTTTTGATATAATTACACTGGTCTGTCATGATATTTTCATTTACATGACATGTTCTTTTTCATCAATAATTTGTTAGTTGAGAAAAAATGATATTGTTATATCTTTTTAACTAATATATATATATATATATATATATATCTACTTACTATTTACATTAGTTTCAATTGTTCTAACCTTGTTAAAATAGAAGTCAATATAATTATGTCAAAAATATAAAATTAATTATATTTCTCTGGAAATATTTTGGGAAGATGGTTATAATTAGCTTTTGATTAAAAGCGGCTTATAAGTAACTTATGTGAGAAAGAGGAAGTGAGTTATAATCTGAAAAATGAATTATAACTCACTTTCCAAAAGGAGCCGAAGTATGCGTAATTTATCTAATTATAAAATACCATTGAATAAAGACGAATACGTGATATTCTAAACCTACTTAATAATATTTGCACAAATAACTTTTGAAGCACCATGGAATTTTTGCAGATATTCATTCCCCCAACTCCAAAAGTAGGGAAAATTTATTTTAAAAAATGGCGTACCCAATGCAAAGGGATGTGTGGTAATGTTTTTCGCCACCATTTTGGTAATCATCATCTAAATCACTAATTGCGATTGACTTTTTGTTTAAAAATAATTTTTATTATTAAAAATTAATAAAGATAAATAATATCTTCTCCCGTAACTCTAAAAGAAATGTGATACAATACTCGTATACGTAATATGTATACAAGACAAATATATATATCTATCTATACTATTATAAAGTGAACAAATAATTCTTATGGTGTCAAACTTTACTCTCCTCATGCCATGTGGCAGTATTTTTTATTTTTTAAAAAAAAGTTAAACAAAGAGATGGGTAAGGCTTGAACCCATAACCATGGGTTTAATTACGAGGACTCATACCACTTAAGCTAAATACACATTATAGTATTAATTTCATTATTATTTTTTTTATTCCTACTTATTTAAATTGCACACACATCGTGTGTGCCACCCACTAATATATATATATATTATATTGCACGTAATTAGTCAACTGGAAAATTAATCAATAATATGATACTCTAAAATATTTTTGTCATCGTGTTTTAATTTACTCTCAATCATTTAAAAATGTGAACATATCAAAACATGTGAATCTCAAAGCATAATATAATAATTAAGAATGTATTAAAATTTTAAAAAAATAAAATAAAATAAATTATGAGCAAGGATATCTAATTGGATCTTCTTCTCTAATAATCTATACCCCTCACTAGTTAAAGTGAGGTTGGTATGAAGAAGTCATAAAAAGAGGCTGAAAGCGTTAAGTACCGAACTTCTTTAGACTAAAAAATAAGGATTTGGTATTATTCCAAGCTCAACAAAAGATATCAATAATTTCATTTCATTTGCAAATATTTTGGTGCGGTTTGGTTTAATTTATTTTAGATTAAAAGTTGATAATCTAAAAACAAAAGCCAAAAGTATTTATCAGCCAACTTTTGAAAATCATTTTTTTTTTCCAATTTATTTAAGTTATTTCTGTTTAATAAATTATATAAAAAAAAAAACTACACACAACAGTCTAACACAAACTCTTAAAATTAAAGAGTCATAAGCAACTCAAATAAATTATGTCAAACAGTCTCTTTGCATAATTTTGTGTGTCCCTTCACCAGTGTAAAGCATAAGAGTGAAAGTGGACCAATAAAATTAACAAGTGCAAAATACAGAAAGTGAACCTGAACTGTCGGTATTTTCAACACTCCATAGCTTTTTTATCCTTTTCTAGTTCATTTTCATTATTATTTTCACCCTCTGGTTGTAGTGAGGTTAGATAATATTTAACCAATAATCCAACCTATGTTCAATTGGTGAATTAGTGTTGAATAGATCGTTTTAATACACCAAACAATTGAGCACATAATATTCAACAAAGTTAACTTTTAAATTTGCAACAAACGAAATCAAACAGTGAAACAAAAATAAAGAAAAATCACCAAACCCTCAATATATTCCACTTCATGTCCTTCATACCATTCCCAAAAAAATTGAATTTTAGAGAAATTTACCGGTCTAGGAAAAAATTAACTAAATCTTTTTTAAACGAGTCTCGTTTTTTTGCATTTACCATGATTAATCATATTTGATCATAATGATCACCCGATGTCAAGGAAGTCAGGGACATAGAATGGATGACTTGCATTATTCAAAGGCGCTATTTAATATCACACCTACTAAACCCTAAACCAAATTATAGCATTACTAGCAATTGCAAATTTGAAGCTCACAGAACTCCCTAACTTTCAGGATAAGGTTAACAAATAGCATTTATATTTACCATCATGTTAATAAAATAAAAAATTATATTTACAACATTAAAATATGATTGTTTAATTATAACACGTTGGCAATAACCACTAGAGAATCAAGAATGTTTTAGTGTTATAGTTTACAGTAACGTAATCAGCAACAGCAGCTTCATTTTTAAAAATAATAAATAAATGAAACTACCAAACATGCTATATAACCTCCGTTTAAAAAGTGAGTTGACATTTTAGTTATTTTAACTTGGACTAAAAAACTTGATTTGAGAATAATATTTTGATTTTTTAACTTTTTTTTGAGAAAAGAGTATAATGATTATGGATTAGATGTGATGTTTTGTTTGTTGTGACTAAAATAACCTATGTTGCCTTTTGTGACTATTTTAGCCACAAACCAACTTGCCAAACAACACCATACATTACCTTCACAAACTTTCAACAGTGATCATAGGGAAAAAAAATTAATAAATAAATTAAATTAAACCGACTTCTCCCGAAAAAATACAATAAACCCTCCAATTTTAATATAATTACATTAAATTTTCTCAAGTTCTAAATTTACACAACACTTAATTCTTTTTTTTTCAATAATTTATTAATCACAAGAACAAAAAATAACATTATCATATCTTACATCCTTAGTATACATATTTTTTTCTCCTTTATTTTTATATTTTCACACCTTATGCATTAATTTCAATCCCCGTGTAATTGTATCACGAGGATGAGGCTAGTTATATTTTTTTCCAAGTGTGGTTTACCCAAAAAAGACAAAAAAGAAAAGAAAACCATATTTATAGTATGGTATTTGCTGTTGTACAAACAGATCCCACAGCATGATTCTGAAATTTTGTAGTCTATGATGGATGTACCTATGAAGCATATTTTTTCAAAACAATGCAATGTCTTCCGATGAAACAAAAACACCATAAAAACACAGCTCTAATGCATAATATGTTCAGCAATCTAAAATTCAACACCAATTGGCAACAATAATTTAAGCATTAAGGACTATACATTTATGAAAAACCCATTTTTCCCCCAGTCAGCAGTACATAGGTTCAGCCAAGCTCTTAGAAAGTCACAGGCCCTCAAAGAGGTGTCTCTTCACCAGTTTACATATATCTACATATAACTAACTACAACTACCAAAAGAAGTAAGAACCTCTCTCTCAATCTATCTCTATAACTTAAAAATAAGTAAATGCAACCTACTAGCCATATTGCCATAACAAAGACACAAACCAGCCAGCCATAAATATGTTACAACTATCACTGCTCTAAGGGAAAGGGGACATTTAGGTAGAGGTAGGTACTGGTATTTGTTAGCGTCAACAACCAAATCCAAAGATCTCTCTTTTGATCTTGCTCTCTCTCGTTCCTCTCTCTCTCTCTCTCTCTCTCTCTCAACATCGTCATTTGCACACCGTCTTCAGTCTCTTTGCAGATTGCACAAACCCCACAATTACCTGCAACTCATCCAATTGCTTCACCAGCAGAAAAAAGAATTCAGATAATCTTTTTCTTGAACTTGAATTCAGGTCATTTATAAATAAATAAATGAAATAAACAATGATAAGAAATGCAAAAGACTCTTTTCTTCAGTAATCTGAGGCATTACTTGAATCATTGCTACACCATGGGGATTACAGTCACAAGTATCATTTGAGTTTGCATAAATTGAAATGATGTTAATTAGAGACATTTTTCTCAAAAGATTTGAGATTTTGGATTTCAAACTTATCTAGAACGCCCTTTGCTTATTTAGGCCAAGTTTGGCAATACAAAAATAATCCATCTTTTTATCTTTTTATCTTTTTTTCATTACATCACCTCTCTACTTTTCTGCACATCTTTTCGTAAAAAGACAAAAAGTACACTTATTTAGGTCATCCCAAACAACCCCTTAATGCCTTGTAAGAAAAAGAGGAAGAGAAAATTAGCAAGTACCTGTGACATAAAATGCCTCTGGACAACATCAATTAGTTGTTCTTTAGATGGGTTGGGGATGGCATCCACCTAGAAAAAGTAGTAGTGTCAATATTATATACATAAGACAAATAAGTAAATTGGCGGTTCTGCAGCAAACACGTGGCATTTAAAACTCACAAGGTTGAAGTGTCGCCAATATCTCCATAATGCAGTCATCTCCAGTTTACTTAGGTCAACCTTCTGTACAGTAGATATTTTGAATACAACAATTGCAGAGTTATAATCACAAAAGATGACAACATTTTTACAAAGAAGTCAAATAAGCAACCTAGCAAATACAATGTACACACAAAAAAAAACCAAAAATCATGTATAAAGGTTCTTTACCGTAGACCCTCGAGGAGTACATACAGATCCCTTTGACTGTGAGTCACAAGAGAGGGACCTGCTCATAGCCCTGTGGGATGAGCCAGATGATTTATGTATGCGATGCCTTGATCTATGGGACTTTTGAGTATCATCGGATGCTGGAGAGATAGAAAGCAAAATTATATTGGGTGGTGGGGCCAAAAAGGAAATAAATAAATAAAGGAGTGCAACATCAGAGCTTGTAGCAATAGAAAAAGTAAAAGACGAAGTGCAGCAGATATGAAAAAGAAAAATGGATCCTATGTAACAACCACAGCAACTTTTCTCTGAATTAAAAAATTTACAAAACCCACTATTGCAGTGGTCGAATCAAAACCTTCAAAACCAATAAAAGGATGAGGATGAGAAAAATATCTTCTTCAACCCAGAGTGTAGCCCAGAGTGTAGGGACTTTCTATTGAATATTGGACCAATTCGGAAGTTTTCACAGATTGAAACCTATTATATTTTAAACATTTAGGCTATTTTAGGATCATGAATTTGGGTAGGATTTAAGAAATGAAAAAGAAAAGATGAGGGATATGTGACATGAAATATAAGCCAAAAAATTTCTCCATTTCCCTTCCCTTTTGCTTTCCCTTTTCAAATTTCATTCACATTTCCCTTTTCTTTTCTTTTCCCTTTCTAAATCCATAATTTAAACATGTCTTCAGTGACACACATTTAAACAATTCTAATAAAAATTTTTTTTTAAAAAAGTAGTCTCTAAGAATTTCTGCTCAAGAACACCTAATCATTAAGCCAAACTCACCCATATCTGAGCCATTCCAATGCACATTTTCAAATTCCAGGTCATCATCTTCCTCATTACCAGTAGGAGCTTCAATCACACTAAGGGCATTCCTTTGTAGTTTTACCTCTATGCCATTTGTAAGAACCTGCATTTTAAGTGAATAAGAAAATCAAAAAAGCACACCAGAAAACAATACCAGTTCCCACGAAATAACACAAAAATGAAGTGAAAATTAAGTCAAAGTGGCCACATGTAAATGGACACTAATTCTGAAGGCATATAATCACAAAAAAGTTTCATAGAAAGAAAATAAATTCAATTCTATTATATGAACCAATCTATCCATCAAATTTTGATCTATAAACTCATCAAAAGCTAGATGAATCCATAGTTTTTAAACAATACTTTAACATAGAAAACCATCCGCACCTTGTGAAAAATCAGGAATCTAGTGACACTTAAATATCAAAAAAATAAATTAAAATAAGAATTAAATCATACAAATTAAAAAGGTGAGAGGGGGAGAGAGTAGATATCTGTAACACTTTCAATCAGTTTAAAAGAAAAAAAAAATTGATACATATTTTGTTAAAATTCAAGAAAACTTTGAATATTGCACAAACCAATTTTACTACAGTCGGTTGAAAAAATGTACAAGTTGTATGGTCACCTCGACAGAACATGATGATTGAATAAGTTAAATTCAACCAGTAATTATTAAACGTTGATCTGGATAAGATCCCAAAAGAACCAATAATGCAAGCAATCCACATAGAAAGACCCAAAAAAATCCTGAAATGTCCAAAACAAAATATACCCAACTTCAATTGATCAACAAAAGTATAACAGAAGCAAGTCCCATCAAAATCAGAGACCAAAAAACACAAAACCCATTATATCAGCATCACAGAATCCAATATACATACATACATATATATATATATATAGAGAGAGAGAGAGAGAGAGAGAAAAAATCCCCCTAATGCAATGACGAAAATAAGAAAGAAAACCAAATAAACAGATTCTTAACTACATTAATTACAAATAACAAATTACAAATTTGCATTTCCCACATTAAAAATAAATAAATAAATAAATAAACCCCCAGATCTACTGATAAAAAGCGACATGCAACGAAAACCTATTTCCAAACAATCAAAATTAAAACTTGAAAACCACAAACTGAAATAAAATTCATGCAAAATTACACATAAACAACATAAAAACTTATCAATCGATTAAAAAAAAAATGTCAGTAAGTAACAGTATTTAACCTTTAACATCGTAGATCAAACCTATAAGAAAGTACATTAAAAACAGAGGCAGAGCCAAACAGAGCACAACATTCCTAAACCAAGGTTACCAAATTGGGGCACATTGCTGGGAACATAAACAATTAAACTCTTCAAAACCCTAAACCAAAACTACATTATACCCTAAATTGAATTGAAATTGAAATCCAAAACCAAAATCCAAGCAAAAAATTGAGAAGAGAATTACCAGCCAATGCCAGCCTCCGAGGCCAACAGCCTTCTTGACTACGCCTTGGAGGCCAACGAGGACAGACTTGGTGCGGTTGTTACCAGTGACAACAACCTTGGTGTGACGAGGCAGAACAGAGAGCTCTTCTTCACTGCTATCTCCACAGCTCTGCAAATGCGAAAAGCCGCCATTGACGGAACTCTCCACTGCTTCTAGCATTTCAGTTTCCCAATTCAGTGAGTCTTGTGAGTCGAATAACTCGGTGAAAACTCGGTCTTCACTGCTCGAAATTGGGCGGAATCGAAAGATCACGCATTGTAGAATCCGTATTCGAAGAGTTTGGGAAAGTTGGAGTGAGAAAATGGGGAGAAATTTTGGAATTTCAGAGAGAGAAAAACACAGTTTTAGAGAGAGAAAGAGAGAGAGAGAGAGAGAGAGTGAAGAGATGAGAGTGACTGTGTTTTCTATGTTTATTGCTTTTGTTGCTCTGAATCCCGACGACCAGAAATCGGCGAATGGGTAGTAGCCACGTGGGCAGAGACGCTCGTTAATCATGCGCTGGGTGGGGCCTTGCGTTGCGGGCATGATGCAATACCACTAGTTGTTTGGGTCAAGTGTTGTGCGTTACAAGTGTTGTGCGTTACTGGGTTTCGACCGTTTTTTATTCGCTGGTAAGATGGCGTTACTGGGCTGTGTTAAATGACGTAATCACCCTTGCTTGCTTCTCCTGGCAAAGCGAGCCCATTCAAAATAATTCGTCTATCCAAATATATATACTCCTCTTTTTTTCTTTTTTTTTTTTTGGATACAGATGAAGTTTAAGAAACAAGAAATGAAAACAACAAGGCCTAAACCCTTACAGAATTAACTACAATCATGCCCAGAATTAACTACAATCATGCCCTCCACAACCAAAGCTCTGGCAATTTTAGGAGGATCTTCAAGTATCACTACATGTTTAGTTTGTGCTACACCTAAATTGGCCAACATATCAGCAACTCTATTGTCTTCTCTCAATGTATGTCCAAGGGTGCATGTGCATCTTGCCATCAGGAACTTAGTATCTTCAATGATGGCTCTGAAGGGAGAATTATGGCTTGGTCCGTTCTGGATTAGATCAATGGCTTGCGCCGCATCAGTCTCCATAGCCACATTCATGGTGCCTTTTTAGAATAGAATTGTCAAGCCTCTATAGATGGCCCATAGTTCTGCTTCCACCGAAGAGCAGTGGCCCAGATTGTCGTAGTATCCCCATATCCATGTCCCAGTTTCATCCCACAGAAGGCCGCCATATCCAGCTTGTCCAGGGTCGCCCTTAGAACAGCCATCGGTATTGAGCTTCAATGTGCCTGCAATAGGAAAACGCCAAAAAATAGATTTAGGGGCTGTTGAAAGAGGGTGGATGGGATAGGAGAAAGCGTCTTTAATCTCTGAAGCATAGTTCCATATACCCTTGAGATTAACTTGAATAGAGTGGTTTACATTTTCGAAACCCATAAGATTACGGGATTTCCAGATCTGCCACAGGGTGACAGTAAAGAAAATGTACCAGTTATTATCAAGAAACATATTTTTGTTTTTTAAGTTAGAAACCACCCATTCAGTAAGAGGTTGTCTGCATCCCTCCTCCCACCAGTTGAAATTTTGAATTGCAGTCCATATATCTCTGGTAAAAGAGCACTTTCGAAGGAGGTGGTCCAAGTCTTCACTGTAAAGACCACATCTGGGGCATAAATCAAATGTTGTCATATGCCTTTTGAGCCTCATTTGATTGGTTAGCAACCTGTCATGGAGGATGAGCCAAAGGAAACTCTTGAGCTTATGAGGTAATTTAATCTTCCATAACCAAGTCCAGTCCCGCCCTTCAAAATCCTGGTTAATGAGCAGTTTATGAGCGGAGGCTACAGAGAAGTTTCCCCCAGATGTACCTATCCAAGATGGTGCATCAGTGTAAGTCACAAACCTTGGTCGGTGGATCTTGGTGATCTCTTGAAGGTCTTGGTGGGTAACAATAGTAGCAATGAAGTCAGTGTTCCAATTCCCTTCTTCATCCAATAATAAGCTCACCTTGTCTCTCCCATTGACCTGTGAGGAATTATATTGGTGGGCAAGGGGTTGCTGACCACACCACCAGTTATACCATAAGGAGATGCTCTCCCCATTACCTACATTCCATTTCACCCCCTTCCTAAGAATGGTCCTACAATTACAGATGCTTTTCCAAATGTGAGAAGCTCTCCTTTCCATAGGCCAGTCATAGATGCTATTGTTTTTAAGGTATTTGGCTTGGAGCACTTTACACCAAAGTTTGTTTGGGTCAGTTAGAATTTTCCAGCCTAGTTTAGCTAGTAAAGCAGCGTTGTTATCCCTAGCTTTCCTGAGGCCCAAACCCCCTTCTTCCTTAGTTCTACAAACAGTATCCCAGTTAATCAGATGGACCTTTTTATGGGTGTCAGTGTCCCCCCAAAGGAAGTTCCTATTGATCCTATCTACTTCATCACAGAATTTCCTAGGCAACTCCATGGTTTGCATATTATAGCTTGGGATGACAGATGTAACAGCTTGAATTAAGGTGGTTCTACCAGCGAAGGATAAGTGCCTAGCCTTCCATCCAGACAGTCTTTGTTTTAGTTTCTCAAGAATCTCATTAAATAAGGTCTTATTGATCCGACTATGGAGTAGAGGGGATCCTAGATACCTGCCTAAGTCTTGGGTAAGGGAAATACCACACTGAAAACTCAGAGATCTAGCATAGCTACAGGACACATTCTTAGAGACAAATATCTTGGATTTCTGAAGACTTAGTTTTTGACCAGACATCACACAAAAGTCATTCAGAACTTCCATGATAGTATGGCAGTTGCTCACGTTAGCTTCAGCAAAGAGGATAAGGTCGTCAGCAAAGAATAAGTGGGTAAGAGCAGGGCTATTCCCGGAAGCTTTGATGCCTTTCCAAGCTCCCGCTTCCACCTTTGAATTGATCATATTAGATAGCCTCTCCATGCAGAGTACAAACAGGTAAAAGGAAAGAGGATCTCCTTGACGGATTCCCCTTCCATTTTGAATGCCTTCAACAATCTCATCATGCCAGAGAACGGAAGAATGAGTGTTAATAACACAATTCATTATCAATTCAATCCAACAGTCATTAAGTTTGAATTCCTGAAAAGTGTCCCTAATGAAGTCCCAAGAAATCCTATCATAGGCCTTATCCAGGTCAATTTTAAAAATCATACCCCCTTTCTTCCCTTTCAAGTATCTAAGGATGTGTAGGATCTCCTGAGTGATGATGATATTATCAGCAGTACTTCTCCCTAGGATGAAGCTACTATGGTTAGGGCTAATGAGAGTGTCTAAAAGTGGTCTAATTCGTCCCACAATAATTTTGGTGATTATCTTATAAGGGACATTACAAAGGCTAATGGGTCTAAATTGTTTAATATGTTCAGGGTTCTCAAGTTTAGGGATCAACACAATAAGAGTTTCATTAACTTCATCAGAAACCTTCTTATTCTGGAAGCAAGACAGAACAAACTCACAAACAGAATGCCCCACAATATGCCAATATTTCTGATAGAACAGGGCTTGGATACCATCCTTACCTAGAGCTTTAAAGGCCCCTATACTTTTAACAGCACGAAGAATTTCAGCATTGGTGATAGGTTTCAACAGGACCTCATTGTCATCAAGTGTAAAAAAGGTGGCGGTAATATTGTTCCAATGGGTAAGAGATTGAACATGTTCAAATTTAAACAGATTAGTGAAGTAGGTAAGGATAATACTTTTGATTCCCTCCTGATTAATAATCCAATTCCCCTCATCATCTTTAAGGGCATTTATCTTGAGTTTTTTATGTTTGGTGATAGTGGACACATGGAAAAATTTTGTGTTCCTATCACCCAAAAGAATGTGCTAAGTTCTGGCTTTTTGAAACCACAACATTTCCTCTTGTAAAAGGGTAGTATTATAGGATTTAATGAGGTCTTTTTCAAGAGTTAAGAGGCTATGGGAACAGGAGTTGGTCAAAGATTTTGAATGCCTTCAATTCTAGCAAGAAGCGAACATTTCCTTTTAAAAATATTTCCAAAAACCTCTTTATTCCACTTCTTAACTCTAGTAGTGAATTCAGAAGTGGAATCAAGTAAATTGTTATGCATATCAGTCCAGGAAAAGGTAATAATATTAGGGAGATCAAAATGGGACATCCAAGCAGCCTCAAAGCGAAAGGGTCTATTGAGGGGGTTGAGAGAATGCATACCTTGGGTGAAGACAACAAGAGGGAAGTGATCCGAATATGTCCTTGGCAGGACTTTAACAGTTGCTTCTGGGAACATTGTTCGCCAATCTTCATTGCATAAAACTCCGTCTAGCCTCTCCACAGTATTGGCCAGCCCCTGTCTATTATTTGTCCAGGTCATTCTAGGTCCTGAACTGCCCAAGTCCATCAAATTATAGTTGTTAATTCTTTCCAGGAACTTCTAAGGTCGAGTCGAACTCTAGTTTGCTGAGTAGCTTCTTCGTTCACTCTGATTGGCATAATCATTAAAATCACCTGCCACGAACCAAGATTTGTCCATACTGTCTGCCACTTCATCAAGTTCATTCCATAGATTTGCTCTCAACAATGGGTTAGGGCTGGCATAGACTACAGCTAGAACCCATTCCTTGTAGTCCTCCTTGTGGACTGTGGCATGGATAACTTGAGGGCCAACTGAGGATGCTCTAACATTGACCTGGGTAGTGTCCCATAATAGCCAAATCCCACCGACTCTGTCTATGGGGTCAACAATAGTTGAAGCGGTGAAGCCCAGATGAGTAAAAAAGTTGTCCATTTTGCTAAATGTAATTTTGGTCTCCATGAGAATCAGAATTTCTAATTTATGAGATCTAAGGATCTCTACAAGATTACGCTTAAAGGTTTTATTGCCAGTATTGCGGCAATTCCAAAATAGTAATTTGAGCAAATCCATAGAAGGAAAGAGAGGTGGAGAATCAGTTACCCAATCTTTGAGGATACTACGTATCCGCCGGTGATCGTCCTCCACTGCTCGCATTTAGGCCATTTGGATCGAGTGAAATGGTTTCATTGGGTTGTTCGCCCAGCTTGGTTCGATTGTTAACCGTATTTGCTCTATCCACCAAACGAAAGCGACGAGGTGAATTGCTTCATTCTCTGGTTCTAACAACAAGCCCACTACTTTGGTTTGTTTCAGATGTTGTTGCACCTCTAAGTTGGTGGGGGTTAGTGGATCTTGCCTCTCCATCTTACGACTCACCAGGGTCAGGGGGAACTGGTTCTTTCTGTTGGTGGTTTTCTAAATTAAAAGTATGGGATGGTTTGGGTATTGTGAAGGCCACATGATCATGCTTATGGGTAGCCTCTACCATGGTTAGGTCAATTTGCCGTGTGGGATAGCTCTCAGTACAGTTGGTATCAGTAGGGTTTGTGGGTACCTGATGGTTAATGATATAGCTGGGCGTGCCTGATTGATAACAGTCTGATACCGCTGACACCATCTCCCCAGGATGGTGTGATGAACACTCTTCCATTGGAACCGAGCTAGGTGGTAACTGCAGCTGGGAATGTAGTTACTGAGGGGTGGATTGGGCCTGACCAATTTTGGTTTTGCCTTTGGGGTCTTGTGATGGGGTAGAGCCCATTTGAGGGGTTTGTATCTCAGTTTGGGCTATCACCTCTCCCGTTCTTGGTGTCTCAGATAGGTCTTTCTCAATACCTATTCTTGTGGTTTTCCTGCCACGGTCTTGCCTGCCTGGCCCACCTTGACTATCTTCAAGATACTTGAACCTATTGGATTTGTATATTAGGCCAGACCAGTCTGGGCTGTTTTTGTTTAGTGTTGGTTTCCGTCCCCGTTTGGTTACTAGCATCCAAGGGCCAAAAGATGTTTCCTCTTTAGGCTGCTGTTGCAGGTTACCGTTGGGTGCAGGCTTGTCTGTGATTGGGACGCTCTCACCGAAAACGGCTAGTTTATCTCTTCCCGCCATTGGTTAGGTCAGCTCTTTAAACCGGCATGCTTCCTTGCGATAATCAACCCTGCCATACAGAAAACAAAATGAGTGTAAAGATTCATATTCTATATTGTAATATTTACCTTCTAGAATAAATTTGGGCTTAAGCGGTTTGGTAAGGTCCATTTCAATGCAGATTCTAGCAAATTTTCCCCGGGTGGCCATTGTTGTTGTCCAGTCAATTTTGAGGGGTTTACCAAGAGATTTGGCAATGGCAAATAAAACTTTGTCCTGGTAATATTCAATCGGAAGCTCTGGAAACCGAACCCAGATAGCGGTTTTGGTTTCGAGTGCTTCCGATGGCTTGAAGTTTGGTTCCCAGCGTCGCACCATGAGATAATGGTCCATGATAACCCATGGGTCCCCTGTGTAGACATTAGTGTAATCATCCTTTTTAGAGAATTTAAAGAGGAAATAGTTGTTTCCTAGATCAATGGCATTAAACTCGCCTTAAAGACCCTAGATGTTTCTCACTCTTGTACAAATTATTTTATAGCCGATATTCTTCCCTAGAAGCTTGATGATGAGAGAACTTTCCCAGGGCTTCCTAATTTTCTCTAGTAATTTTTTTGGCAGTGAAATCTTGGGGAAACCCGTATGGACTGAGTGGCAAACATCAGTTGTAGAGTTACCCCTCTGATCCTCTTGTTGTTCATCCTCCTCATCGGACGAGAGGAGTTCAACTCTTTCATCAAAGAAGTAGTCCCTAGTCTTAGATTCGGTGAGAGCCGCCTTGAAGGATTTAGGTGGGGAGGGTTGGAGAGGGGATGGATTTTGCATCCTAGAATTTTCCCCTAGCTTCTCCATTTCCATAACCATCTTTTGTTCCATCGGTTGGTCCTCCACTAGATTTGTACTTTTAATTTTCTTTGTGCTCCTGATTAGGTGATCTTCCTCCTCAGAAGATTTTTCAAAGTTGGGCGAGGCACTGTGGTCGGCGTTGATGTTAGGGAGGGCCTCCGACATCATAGAGAGAGAAAGCTAATCTTCACAACTATTCAAATATATATACGCCTTGTTCCTACTAAGACTTTGATTAGAAAGAAACATATAATAGAAAGTAAAGTAAAAGAAAGTAAAGGAAAAGAAAAGAAAGAGAAATGAAATTTTATTTTCTTACATGTGTTTGATTAGGAAGAAAATCATGTAAGAAAATGACAGAAAAATTTTCAATATATAGTTTGGAAAGAAAGAAAGTTGTAGAAAAATTATTCTATTTTCCTAAATTGCCTTGATCCTTCTTTAACAAAACAACAATCACAAAAATATGTCAATATAGCAGCCTTCTTTAACAAACAACAATCACAAAAATATGTCAATATAGCAGCTTAATTTGAAAAAATAAATAAAAATAAAGTATCACTAGGCATCAATTGGCATGCATGTCATCCAATATTATTCATTTATTTTTTCTTTAATCAAAAATATTAACAAATGAAATGAATTTTATTCATTTAAAATCACTATAATAGCTAATTATTATTTCTGAGACCCAAAGAATAGAGATTTTGGAAAATAAACATGTAACAAGAACTACTCTCTTGAAAATTGTGATTAACTTGCTGCTTTTTTGTTTTTTTTTTTTTTTTGAATGACTGTTCATCTTTGTGCCATCAAAAAAAAAACAATGACCACTAGAATTTACTTATAAACCTTCCTAATATTAATACTAATTTTTTTGGAAAACATATGAAGAACTAAAGTCTAACACCCAAGAGTTTATAGCAGTAGTTAATAAGGATTAAAAAACATGACTAAATTTAAAAAATGTAGCTCAAGCTCAAACTTAGAATAATAGAAACTGAAATCTCACACCTACCTAGGACAAATACCAAACAGAGACAATGACTACAACCAAACAAATTACTAAGAAAGAAGAATCTCAACGAAGACATGAACCTATAATTTAGAAACTTTATTCAACTCCCAGCCATTACTAAATACCATCCGGACCGCCTTGTGATAGTTGTTGAATTAAAAACAAGTAGCGCATATCTTGAGGATATATCATAAATGTTGTAGCTTTTATAGGATCTCCGTTCAAGTATTCAAAAGCAGTCATTCGGCTATTGATATCAAGCTCTTCAACATCCATTACGGCCTTGTAAAGTTCCAAATAATCTATGCAATGCTTACTCTTCTCATATGTATCAGCCAATCTCGCCATGTTAGTTGCAACGGCAACCATTGTTTCAGCAACAAGCTCTGCACCTTTTGACTTCTTTGATTGCTCTGTCACTGTCTTTGAAGATCTGTGGTTGCGCTTGCCAAGTGTAGGTTTTTGGCTACTAGTATTGCCTTGTTGAATTGCAAATTCATTTCCTTCTATGTCAACCACGTCATTTGCCACCATGTTGTCAATGGGATCGAAGAGATGTGAATATTCATCCTCACTATCATTTGTTTTCTTTGAATAGTTAGCATTTACATCCTTGGCAGAACATGCCCATTCACCAGTAGATTGATCATTGCCACAAATAGATAATTCATCAAGCATCTCAATCTTCTTACCTCGTAATCCTTTTGCATTTGGATTTGCCTGCAAAGTCATATACCACCATAATTTTTATGTATATAACCAATAGTCAATTCCTAAGCACATATATATTTTTTTTATTAAAAAAAAAATACTTACGGCAACATATGTAGTCCATACTTGATCACTGCATTCAACCATTTTTGTCATTGGATTCTAAGAGAATCCACTTTTACTCAACATTTCCTGTACCAATCTAAATTTTTTCTTAATAGTTTTTAAGCGATTAACACAATGCTCGCGACTGAGAGAAAGGTTAAAGCTTGAATTTAAAGATGAACAAGCTACAATATAAGCTTGATCTTTAAAGCCCTTATCCACTTTGTACCCTTCATTAGCTTGATGCATTAGTTCTAAAATAAGGCACTTATCCATCTCTTTAGACCAAACTATGTTATTTCCTCTTTTCTTCCCATCTCCTATGGGCTGTTGAGATTCATGTGCCTCCATTTCCTATAATAATAACTCACAAATATGCTTAACCAATAACACAAGATCAAATCATTAAAAAACTAAGAATACTACAATTGAAAAAGACTAGCATTTACATAATTAATATTTAGAGTGCAACAACGAAATACTACCATTGTTCAATAATAATAGAAAACAACGAAATACTACCATTTACATTTATCTACAAATAACAAAACATTAATTTTCGAGAATTCTATTGATGTCTTCGACCAAAATCAGCCCACATTTCATTCATTATTTGCGTTCAAATTCTCTTTCCTTCTCTTCCATCTCCAGCCCTAGTTAACTGTACATCAACGATATCATGAATAGGAGCAGTTTCATTGTTAATCTCTCCATCAACAATATTTAGAAGTGGATCATATGGCATCACTCCTCGAATATGATTGTGCATGAGACAAGCAGCAATTACTAACTTCCTTTGAGTTGTATAGCTAAACATTGGCTCTTCCACCAAAATTCTAAATCGTTTTTTTAATACCCCAAAAGCTCGCTCAATTGCATTTCGTAGTGACGAATGCCTATGGTTAAACAATTCTTTTGTTGTGGTGGGCACTCAACCTCTAATTTCATTTAGATAGTATCTTGTACTTCGAAATGGGGTAATGTAATGCTTAAGTAAAGGAAATCCTGCATCAACAAGATAGTATTTTCCTACAAAAGAATAACATTTGGCTTAATAATACATAATAAGTTCAAAAAAAATTATTATTATTTATATGTTAAATATTTACCTAGAGGACATGTGATTCCATGTTCCCTATTAATAGCACAACCTAAGATTCTAGAATCAGATGCTGACCCTTCCCATCCAGCTAAGACGTTAGTGAACCTCAAATCAAATGTGCAAGCTGCTAATACATTTTGTAACGGCCATTGTTTTCTCCCATGAAATCGAGCTACAAGTTCAGTAGAAACTTTTATATGAAGGTGTGCACCATCGATTGCTCCCACACAATCCTACTTGGAGCAACATCAAATGAGACTATATAGAAAACATGTAGAGGTATTAAACTGTGTTATATATAATAAGATTTTACCTTAAAATATGGCCACATTCTAGGATTGTCATGTATCTCTTTAGGAGTCTCCATTTGAACTGAAGGTTGCTTTAAATAATTATCTTCCATGCTTATAATTGCATCTAAGACCATATGAAAATATCGGGACATGGTTTCACTAGACCACTTATAGTAGCGTTTTGCAGGACGGTTCTTGACATTGTGTGATACTATGTGCAAGAATATTGCAACTTGCTCCTCAACACTACAATGCACAGTATCTTTTAGCCTTCCAATACCCCTAAGGATGTACACTAATTTTTGAAAACACTCTATGTTCATTCGTAATAAGTCGTGACAATCTTCATCACTTTGTGTTACCTCACCCACAAATTCACGTTGCGTTAGATAACAATTCATGGGGGTCTCTTATCGTACTCTAAGTAGTATGCACCATAGGCATATGCTAAGACGCCAACAAATTGTGCATCTAAAAATGTAAGTTCTTCATCATATTCGACATTGGTATCCATCTACAAACATGAAATCGATGTGATAAGCATGTAAGGACATCTCACTAACAAAATGCACCCATTAAAAAAAAAAGAGTAAATAACTAGTCAGAATAGGAATTGGCAAAAACAATTGGAAAATAGAAAGCAACCCAAAAAAATTAAAAATATAAAAAATTATCAGGATGCATGATTAGCTAAACATATTTGGGAAGAGCAACACAATTGAACAACCACCAGATTAAGCCATTGGGTTCCGCCAATCATAGAGGTTAACTATGTTTCTATCACACTCCCATTATTTTGTTGCTTGCTTATTGTAGATATAAATTGAAAAATATGGCTTTATCTTTGCTAAATAAATCCCTTTTGTTGCTTTGGCAGCTCTTCATAATGGTATAATTACTTGTCACCATACATGTTTATACAACATATTATGATGGATAAAAGTCAGAACACTTCTATATGTAGTTTTAATCCAAATTCAACAATAGATCTCAAATGGTTTCAACATATGATTTAAGCAATGGAATCTAATAATTTTTGCATCCATTTAATCAAGTAATTGCCACTCTCCCTCTCAGTCACTCTCCTCATCATGTGTAACTTTGTTAATGTAGATCTGCATCAACTGCTACAACAGCATCAGTTCAAAGTATCTCTGAGGATAATGTGGATTCTAGTTCAAGTGATAAAGAAGTAAAAAATGCATTAAATGAGGTCAATGACAGTTCGGTATGGATGCTTGTTTTAATTATTTTGTTTCATGCACCAACACCAAGTTGGCTGTATGAGTTAACACTATGAACACATGTTAGATTTGAACTAATGAAAATACTCAATGCTCAAATGTACATTTTGAAGTCCTCTATTTATGGTATAAAATGAGAAGATACATGTGCCCATTTTATTAGTAGACACAGGGACAAATATTTAGCACATAAATCATACAACCTAGATTGATCTTATAAGAACATATGATGTCACACTGGTTCTGGAATTTTTTCAAACATTTGGTACCTATATATATATTGCCAAAGCAGAAAGCTAAAGATAATTTTATAGAACAAATCCAATTAAAAAAATAAATAGAACAAATCCAAGCTCAAACCAATAGAAGAATTCCATCATTGCTAAACCCAAGAAAAATGATTCATTGAAATCCATCATCAATTTATAGCAACGAACCCACTTTCAAACTTCACCCACTTATCAATTCAAATAAAAAATGAAAACAAATCCAAAATTTATGATAGCTATTTCACCACCCCAAAAAATGAAATAAATAAATAATAACAAAAACATATTTCCAAAAATATTCAAGACAAGACATTGATCTTGTTAAGAAGACTAAGAATACAACAATATAGAATAAAGAAAGAAAATAACTCAATGAATCAAAAAGCTAAATTGTTGATCTGTTGTAAACAAAATTCAACAATGCTCTGAGTTCTTGCAACTGGAGATGATGAAATATTGGGAGAGAGAAATAGGAGAGATACAATGTGCTTAGTTGATTTTGTAGAGGGAAACATGAAAATATATATCAGATCAATCCGCATATGAGGGAGTATAGAGGGAAGATGGCAAAGAGGGAAACCAAAATAAACGGGCTAAGTTTTGTGGGAAAATTCAAATTTCCCTGTGAAATTTGCTTGAAATCAATAGAGTATCCAATATGCTAGTTTGAGTTGTACAGGAAACTTGAGTTTCCATTACATTCTAAGACTCTCTTTCTAAACAAACACTTAATTTTTTTATTTTTTTTCTTTTTCTTTCACTTTCTTATATTCTCTCTCTAACCAAACTGAGCCTAAGGGAATGTCTTTCTTCCAGTCCATGATCGAATTAAAAAGTATTGTTGCATTTGTGTGGGTTCATTATGAGTCTCGTTTCGATAATCTGAACTATTCAATGTATAAAACCCATCGAGTACTATATGCTTGTAAAACATTACGTTAATCGGATATCGATAAGCTATGTGATCAAATTAGATTTTTGTAAGCCGCTTATTTTTCACTGTCCATTTTTTTCCATACAAAACTGATTTGATCGCACAGCTATCGATATCCGATCAATGTGATTTTTTACAAGTCTATAGTACTCGATGAATTCCACATATTTCAAGTTTGGATTATTGAAACGGGACCCGTGGTGGGCCCCCACAGGCCCAACAGTACCCTTCAATTCGTAATTGAACTGTAAGGAAGCTATGCCCTTCTATTAAACCTCAAAATAATTCACATTTCCCAATTTTCAAATGAGAACATCTTTAGTGATGTAGTTATATTTGTGTTATATTATAAAAAGGGATTGAACTGTCTCAAATTCAGTCTTTGAATTGGACAATTCATTTCACCTTATTTTAGGTCCGTTTTGATAATCCAAACCATTCAATATATAGAGTGTGTCAAGTGCTTCACACTACAACAAAAAAAGGTTTTTACGGCACGCAATGCATGTTATAAAAACCTTCTACGACGTGCAACGATACGTTATATTATGATCAGTCATGAAAAGTCATTCACTTTCAACGACATGCTTCGTACATCGTTAAAAACTATTTAACGGTAGATTTTGTGTGTTGTTGTTAATTTTTCTACGACATGCTATAGTACGCCGTTAAAAACTATTTAACGACAAATTTTGTATGTCATTATTACTTTTTTCTACGACTACTTTTGCATGTCGTTAATTGGTGAGATAAATAACCACGCTGATTGCGCGTCGTAAAATATGTAATACAACGACTTATTATGCCTGCCGTAGAATGTCTTTTTTATTTTATTTTATAAATTCAATAGGTTCTATTGATCAATTTTATACAATCTAACAAATATTACAAACAAGCATCACAAAACATCAATCAACTACCAAAATATTGTTTGAAACATAAAAAAAAAAAGCTATATCCATAAATTATAAACATTCAACAATTGTCTATACATTTCAAACATTCGAAAACTATATCCTTAAGTTCTAAACTGTAAAAATAGTTTAAACCATCCAAAACTAGGCATATTTAACTTTCTAAACATATCGACAACTATTAAGAGATTATCTAAAACTACCGACAACAGTTCATATAGCAATTGCAGCTGCAGCTGTAGCAAATCTACCTGCTCCTATCACAGGGACGAGGATGCCCAATGTATGTTTTAAGGCACCTAAACTCGCGACAATAGCTGGAGCAACTAACCTTATTTCATTTCTTGTCTGCATGACAAAGGAAACTTCACAAAAGTACAAAAATCGATGACTCAGGGACACAAATATTTCTTGAGGTATTAAGAAATGATCAAGAAATTTTAAAACATTAACAAAATATTTCCAAAATTAATAAGATAATTCAATAGCCCCATAAAAGCAATGTCATAATGAAAAATTAGCAAAAATTCAATATCTCAATAGTCTCAACATATGCGCAAATAAAATCCACATAAAGCAAAACCTCTTTTTCCATACCTCTAATGAAGTTACCTCTTTTGTTGCAATGTTTCTAGAGGAAAATGAGTAGGAATCTTCCAACAAACCATTACGTTTGTACAGGAAAATATAGTTTGCTACTAAATCCAGGCCATAAGAAGCTCAAGAAAAAAATTAAATTTAAAAAGAGGAAGAGGTGGAATTAATCTACTTCAATGCAGTACCTACTTGGGACTCGCATAATTATGTTAAAGGATCTCTATGTATGTGGTTTAGGTTTGCATAGGTTTTATCCATTACCATTGTAAGTTCCAAAATAAAGAGTCCAAGTCAAATTAGAATATATTATTTACAAGTTTAAAAAGAAACTCTCAATCCATTATAGAAGAAATTTAGAAGACACTTTCAAGCCCAAATCCCATTATTCACAAAGGAATACTCAATAATGCAAGAGCATGGCTGCACGTGAAGCCAAAAATGAAATGATCAGTTTGTATAAATAGAGACGGGAGGGAGAGGATGAAAAATATCAGAAATTGGAGAGTGAGAGCTGTGAGTTGAGTGAGTTTCATCTCCTCCTCTGTATTTGTATTTTTGCTCCATTTTAGTGAAAATTCTCATTTCTGTCCGTGGATGTAGGCATTGGGCCGAACCACGTAAATATTGTGTTCTCTGTGTGTGTGTGATATTTTTCTGGGTGTGTGTTTGATCCTAACAATAAGAAGCTCAAGAAAAAAATTAAATTTAAAAAGAAGAAGAGGTGGAATTAATCTACTTCAATGCAATACCTACTTGGGACTCGCATAATTATGTTAAAGGATCTCTATGTATGAGATTTAGGTTTGTATAGGTTTTATCCATTACTATTGTAAGTTCCAAAATAAAGAGTCCAAGTCAAATTAGAATCTATTATTTACAAGTTTAAAAAGAAACTCTCAATCCATTATAGAAGAAATTTAGAAGACACTTTCAAGCCCAAATCCCATTATTCACAAAGGAATACTCAATAATGCAAGAGCATGGCTGCACGTGAAGCCAAAAATGAAATGATCAGTTTATAACCTTTTCTTCTAACTTTCAACAGTCAGTCTAATAGTAAAATCTGTTACTTAATAACCAAGTAGTGCTTACAAAATCTTCCAATGTAGAATTTGCATCTTGCATTGCAGCCAGCCCAACCATAACCATGTCATCATAATAATTTGCAATGAATTATTGCATGCTTTGTGTTCACAATTGCCTGCAAGAAATAGTGTTCAGTATGTGTACATTAATGAAGATACAAATGTGTAGTGTTCAAGTGACTCAAAAGTAAAGTCTAGTCAATCCGGGCAAGATAACTAGTCTCATAAAAATTTCATCACCACACCCTAGGCTTCCATTGTTTCCTCAACAATTATCTTAAAACACATTCCTAATGGAATCTCAAACATACTGGAAGCACAGGTTTGAACTCTAAAGAACATAAGCATGAAACTAATA